GTAAGGTAGAAGCACATTTAGACTAGAAGACTGGGAGTTGCTCAACTGATGGTGAGCTAAAAGTTATAAAGTAGTCCTTTCTCCTTGGACCTGGTTTGTTGTTGTTGTTATTTGCCATCGAGTCAGACCCAACTCATAGCAACCCCTCCTTGGGTTTGTGAGGCAGTATCAGACTGCTCAACCTTCCTTCCGAGGCTGGTGGGTTTGAACCGCCAACCTTCTGGTTAGCAGTCAAGTGCCTTAGGCACTACGCTACCAGAGCTCCTTGGACTTGGTTTTGTATTTTTTAAAATCTTATTATATTTATTCTTGAAAAAGACACACAATATATGACAGTGAAGACATTTTCAAAGGTTCATCCACTAAAAATGTCATAAAAGCACTGGAAAACTCCAGACACTAGAGAAAGACAACAATTTTCTAAATTAATCTTGGAAATTGTTAAATCTGTAAACATTATATGTTTGTTAAAATTCTTATGGAATGTTAATACATTAATGATTGTTAATGCTGAAAGGTTAAAATATATAAGGATTTTTATCCTCCAATTTAGTTCAAAAGTAGATGCTTTAATCACTCACAGAACAATTAAAATTAGTAGTACTAAGTAGATGTAAACATCAGAGAATACAACAGCATTCACCTAGATGCTTGGCCTAATGAATTTTTCCTTGTTATTTTAAAAATTTATCTACATATTAACAATCTAGAAAGGGTAGGTTATACTCTTATAACTTATTACTCTTCTTGGAAGGAAAAAAAAGGTTGAAAAAGCAGCTAGAAACACAAACAGAAAATTCTCCATAAGGTCTTCTACCTACAAAATTTAGTGTTTCTTTCCTGAAGTCCTGAGCTGTCCATCTGCACATATGTTGCTTCTGAATTAGAGGTTGATTACATTTAAAATCACTCTGTAGGAAAAAATGATGACATTTTATGATGTTAATTACAAAGTAAAAATTGGGGTATCTACAAAATTTCTCTATAGTAAGTTGCCATTGTTTATGTATTTTGTCAAATTTATAAATATAAAAATCCAGAACTGCTCAAAAAAGCAGGGATGCTCAGGAATGCCATTGGGTGTGAAGTCAGAGAGCTGCATAGCCCTTAGAAAGAGGCTGTGAGCAGGACTGGCCCCCAAGTGGCAGCCATCACCTTCCTCCCTCCCTGGCAGCTCTACTCCCATCCCAGCATCCCCAACCCAACTCAGTTAAGTTATTTGTAATCCAGATAATTCTCTGTAAATACAGATGCTCAAGTGGAAAGGAGAAACACAGGACCTGAGATTAACTGAAATGATTTTTAAATCAATCATAAAATCACCAAATTCAGTATTTTTACCTATTATATAACTCTAAACTTCACGTTATATAAACTTAAATCCATCCCTACACTATCAAGAAACTTAACATTTAACTTCTTTAAACTGCATTCAAATCAAGATCCAGTCGCATGATTAAAAAAGTATCTATCTACTTTATACTTACAATGTAATTTTAAAATGATACTGTTAAAAATTCTCTGAAATAAAAAATAAATGCTAATTTACCATACCAAGAGTTATGATTTAGTCTAATAAACAGAAATAGTAGGAATAATGCAATATCAAAAATCTAAAAATAATTTAGGGTAGAAAAATAAAGGAAAACCAAGGGTGTTCTAGAAAAATAATGAACTTAGACACCTTGAAAATAATCAGAAAAAACTGCTGTCATTGCCTTTCAAACAGACTTTTATTCTCTTTTTGTCCATACTTACATTTTAATTATTCTTAACTATTTTAGTATAGAACATATCATTTATAAAAATTTATTGAATTTAAATCAGAACAAACAAAATAGGAAGACAACAAAACCAACCTAGTTTTCAAGCTTTTATTTAGTGTGATAGAGTAAACAAGTCCAAAAGTGTTTTGTAAGATTCAATCAATAAACATTTTTAAATATCAACACCATAATGCTAAAAAGCCTTTACTTGATATAAGTAAAAAGGAAGCCTTCCACTGCCATGGATTTAATAAAGACAGTCTGGTTGGCTACATAAAGATATTAATTCAAAACCCTTTTATATTTGGGGATATACTCTGCAGAAGAAGTATTTTCCAAATTATATTTTATTAGTACCATATTAATCTGATATTGAAATGAATTGCTATTACTTAAGCAATTTCCATTCTCTAGCAGAAAGAACCTAGTCACATGTAAGAATTCTAATCTTCCTTTATGTAAAGAACTCTATAAAGTAAGTAGAGGAATATACTGACGTTAAGCTTCTCCATTAAATACCAAAGAGATTTATCATAATTAAAACATTTTTAATTTAAAATTTTAAAGTTAAAATAGCTTGGCACATAGTCACAGAGAGAGAGAGAGAAAGATACAAAGGATAGTCATTCATTAGCTACTCAATGATGAAGAGTGAATAACAGTTTCTGACCAGAAAGACATTTACACTTCCTTTTATACTATGAGACTAAGTCAAGTCCCTTAATTCAAGAAAAAAAAAAATTATAATTTCATGTCCTTTTCTTTCACATCAGGAATATATATTAAAAATAAAATAAAACCTCTAAACCCAACAATAAATCCATCAAGAGAAAAACGAACTACCAAAATGAACCATAAAATAAATTATACATTAATATTCCTAAATTCAATAAAAGGACAATAAAACAATGACTGCTTCACCAAAATTTAGAACATTTGGTAAATATAAGCTCACTGCTTGCAAAAGCTTCAACTCTAATTAAACACCAACATTTTTCAAACTAATTCCATGAAGGGGATATAAACAAACTAAAAGACATCAAATTACTAGATAATTTGTTTATGTTCAAAATCACAGCTTGGGGTAAAGTGAAACAAGGAGGGAAATCAAACAAAGTATTTGCTTTACTGAAAGATTCTTGGCCACACACACACACACACACACACACACACACACCCCTGCCCCACCTTCTACATAAAAACCATTTGGGTTTGATCCCATTCTCCTTGCACTGAGGATATTAAAAAAAAGTAAAAGCATTTACAGTCCATTAAGGTCTGCCAGCACTACATCTGAAATCTATCCCAAACTCTCTACTTCTTATTATCTCGATTTTTATCACCCTAGTCCACCCATCTCTACCTGTTACCACCCTAAGAGCCTTCTAAATGGCTGTCTTGCTTTCACATTAACCCTCAAACACACATTCTTCATAAAGTAGACAAAGTGATCTTTTGAAAATGTAAGTCAAATCTTCTCATTCTCCCACTTAAAAACCTTAATGGCTTTCAATTCATCTTATAAAAGCAGCCTACAAGACCCAACATGATTGCACCCTTGCCCACCTCACCTACCCCAACTTTTCCTATGCTGACCCTCTTCCTGTTTTAGTTTCTTCACCTGGCATATTTTGGGACAGATGATTCTTTGTCATGGAGGGCTGTCCTGTGCACTGCAGGATGTTTAGTGGCATCCCTGGCCTCTACCCACTAAATGCCAGCAGCAATACCACCCCAAGCTCCAACAATCAAATATGCCTGCAGGCAATGCTTTGAACAAGCCACACTTACTGCCTTATGGGCTCCAGCATGAAATGCTCACCTCAACAAACTGTATGGCTGGCACCTTCTCATCATCACTGTTTCAGCTTTACTGTTTGGCCTACTCAGGGACATCTCTCTACTCATCCTACAGGAAGTTGTACCCCCTTCCATCCTATCCATAGCGTGGCACTTAGAACAACAGGGTCCAGTCTGTTGTTAGGTGCTGTCGGATCAGTGCTGACTCATGGCAACCCTATGCACAACAAAATGAAACAACATCTAGTCTTGTGCCATCCTCACAATCGTTGCTATGTTTGAGCCCATTGTTGTATTCACTGTATCAATCCATCTCACTGAAGGTCTCTTTTTCACTGAACCTCTACTTTACCAACTATGATGTCCTTCTTCGGGACTGGTCTGTCCTGATAATATGCCCAAAATACTCAAGATGAAGTTTTGCCATTCTCCTTTCTAAGGAGCATTTTGGCTGTATTTCTTCCAAGACAGATTTGTTAAGTGCTCAAAAAGTAGTTGTTGAAAGAATGTGGAAATGTCAGGATCTAGAAAAGTCCTGAAGTGGCAAGACCATGATATTTAACATACGGCAACAGCACTACTCCAGAATATTCTTCTAAACTCTGTTAGCCCACACCATTCAAAACCCATACTAATAGGCCATAAATTTTTATTAATGTCACATTACTCTCAACAACAGGCCATGTGTGTATTCACTGTGCCATAACAGAAAAACATTACCCATGTGCAGGGAACAGAGAAGCTTGTGAACTACTCAGAAAAGTACTGAATATACTGCACCCTGACCAACAGCTGAGACAGCCACGTCAAAGAGAACCCTGGTTAATTACTTAATTCATTCAGAAGGCCCCATTAGTTCTAAGTAGCACTCTTTAATTTATCTTCTTATAAGTGGTACAAAAAGGTCAATGATTTTGATTAAAAAATAAAATAAAAAAAAGAACAAAGAAAAATATGACTTTGGTTATTTCAAAAGCCAACAGCTATAATGAATGAAACATGAAAGATGAATCTAAATTGAACAATCTATTTTTAGTGCCTTTATGAACTGGTAAAATCTATTCAGGTTAACCATATGCTGAATAAATAAACTGTGCAAAATTGTAGTTTTCAAATTGAACAGTTTTCTAACTCTATCCCATTCAATTCCAAAAAAGAATTTGTGTATGTCTCAAAGGGCCATTTAGTAACTTCTGAAGCAGTTTCTGGTATCAGCAGTTTGGATATCCATTTCTCAAAAACATTAACACAGTTAATCCTTTTTGAAACTACCACGGCATTGCTCTGAATAACTAAATTTTATTTCTAAATTTTTAATCAAAACCATTGACTTTAAAGACTACCATTCATCAAAGCAATGATGTGAGAAATTTCAGAATGAATTCAAGAGTCCTTTCAAAAGGAGTGTGAGCATGAGGAACAGCTATCACATACCAGTTGTGTACCATTAGCTTCTGCACAGCCAATAAAGCATTGTAGCGGACCTGCTGGTCTTCATGGTGCATGTGATTCATTACTAGCTGCTTCCCACCAAGCTGTTCAATAACCCTGCAGAGCAGAAGAGATGTGGTAAGGATGCTTCAATTGCTTTCAAACTCATGCTGGTAGTATGCAGAAAGTTCAAATATACATCAAGGGATTTAAAAAAAAAAAAAAAAAAGTTACAACATAGGTAAATAAAACGATACACCTGTCTTTTTTACATCATTTTCTCTGAATCACAGATAAAAAGTATTCAAATTGTTTTTCTTTTGAATTCCTAACTATAAATCCAACTTTCAGTCTCATTTCCTGATCTAGGAAAACAGCATCTACCTGGACAACTCACAAACCACAGTATTCTAAATTATAAAGTCTTCTAGATAGCTAAGTATTAATTTTTTTATTATCAGTATTTCAATAAGTACACTGAATATTATCTAATATCCGTAACAACATAACATCAATATTAATTCCATCAGTACTCATACCATATGACAGATTCAGGCTTAGGAACAGATAGTAGGAGAAATACCGTTAAAAGCACTCGGTAGAAGTCATGCTGATTTCCTGAAAAAGATCTTATTGATTTTAAGATATTTGCTCTTTATCATACTGATGGAGTATGCCATATGGTCTCCTTGGCAGTGAAATAGAAAAGAGAATTCCTATTGTCAAGAGCACCGTGATGATTGAAGTTGTTTTTAGCCACTGCACCCCCACCATCCTGAAAATACACTTACTGCAGATGCAGATGCCACTCCTCGGAAGGAAGGTTGGGCAATCCTACTTCCGTAGTGATACTGCCTCGGAAACCCAAGGAGGGGTCGCTATGAGTCGGGGCCGACTCGACGGCACATAACAACAACAACAACAGCAGATGCAGAAGTAGAGCGGCACGTGGTTATTTGTTTCATGAATAGAAAGAGGTTCTCTCTTCTTAAGGGCATGGCTAGGGCTACAGCTGTAGTGTTTACTAGCTCTAGTACAAAAGTATGAATTTCCCTGTCCATTTTATGTCCATCAGTACTGTCTGTGGATGGTATCACTCCTACACAGTCAGTGATAAATGATACCTTAATGCAATAGGGCATCTAGTGGTTTAAGACAACCTCAAGGATCAGTATGGCTTCATGGATCAGTAAAAAATAAGTGGATAGGGAAAGGGGTGAGAGGGAGGCTTTTATCTGTATATCTTCTTGTACTTTACTTTTTAAAGCATCTTTTCAAAAAATAAATTATGAGCGGGGAGAAGGCTACATAATAATAACAAAAAATTGACTTAAGTTATTTATAGGTACTGCTTTACAATATTATCTTATTTAATGTATCAGCTCTGCTATATGTTCAATATGTCACAGTAGGCAAGTAATTTAACCTAGTAAATTCCTCGCTGGCAAATAGAAAAGTACTATCTCCTTGACAGGGAGCTCTTGTTAGCATAGTGCGTAGTGGTTCAAACCTAGCAGCCACTCCTCGGAAGGAAGATGGGGCAATCTACTTCCGTAGTGATACGTAGTGAAACCCAAGGAGGGGTCGCTATGAGTCGGGTCTGACTCAACAGCACATAACAACAACAACATCATCTCATTGACAGAGGTGCTATGAACACTCAGGACATAAACCCTTGTGAAACAGTCCCTGGAGTAGGGTAAAACCATGTTTGGTGGAGCAGCTGCACATCCAAAAATTTGAATGGCACCTCCTTGCTTAAAAAATTCAGACTTTCTACTGCTCTTAACAAACTGATCAAAGTTCTTAAAATGGCCACCAAGGATCTTCAGAGTCTGGCTTGAGCCCTCCCCTCCAGCTTCACAGAGCACAAATGCACACAACTTGCTCTCTGCACTCTAACCCACTGCCCTTCTTTCCATTTCTTCAGCCATAGCACCTTTGCATAGGCTATTTTCTCCTCCAGAAGTTTTCCCATCCCTCTTCATGTCGATAACTACTAGCTGGCAATCTAGTTCCTTAGAGATTTACAGCCTTGGAAACCCAATGGGGTCACTATGAGCTGGAATCAACTCAATGGCAATGGGTTTGGTTTTTGCTTTTTAGTTTTCATGCAGATACTCTCCATTCCTCTTTCAGATCTTGGCTTAACTGTCCCTTCCTTAGGGAAGCCACAAGAGCTCTGGTGGTGTAGTGTCTAAGGCATTTGACTGCTAACCAGAAGGCTGGCAATTCAAGCCCACCAGCTACTCCTCAGAAGGAAGGTTGGGCTATCTACCTCCATGCTGATACTGCCTCAGAAACCCAAGGAGGGGTCACTATGAGTCGGATCTGAGTCATCGACCATCAGTTTGGTTTGGTTTGGTTAAGGGAAGTCACCCCTAGGTCCAATATTGCACTAATTCCCTTAATATATCCTTTCCATGGTGCTATGTATCTCTCCTTCACTGTACTCTCCTAAGTTACAATTTTGTACCCAACTGATTGTTAAAAATTTTTAAATTTGTCTTCTACACTATATAAGAAGTTCCATAAGAGCCCAAACTATTATAGCTTTCCTCACTCTTATATTCCCAGGGCTTGTGACAAAAGCACTTATCAAATATCTACTAAACAAATGTGTTACTCAGCCATTGAAGCCTATGTGGCTAAAAAGTATTTAATCACATAACATTAATTCCTAAAGGCAGATTATAAAACAGTCACTTTTCTCAATTTATATGAAATGCTGTTTTTAAATAGAATATGCCATTAACTCCAAAGTGAAGGCAACTTGAAAGTAGGTTTGGATTTTTTGCTATTGTCCAGTTTCTCTTTTCATCAGAAATCATTTTCATAATTAAAGGACAAGTAGGTCTTCAAACAAGATAGACTTTGACTGCATCAAAAATGTCTCAGGATCATCCTTCCATCATCTACTGCAGCATACAATTACTGGAACTCAAAATAATAACAGCAAACATTTATACAACACTCACTATCTGCCAAGAACTTTCTATATACTCTTATAAGAGCTGTGAGTGGCCTATAACTGCCATGGGGAGAAATGATAGAGAACAGAGACTAAAAAGAAAGGTCTACTAATCAGAATAAGATTTAGGAACAAGGAAACCACAAGGCCCAATGTGCCCTATTCTCGTGTGAGTTTTGAATTAGCAACTGTCACACTAGGAAATACTTATTTTTCCATGCTGATGGATTATTTAACTACCAACATCTTTGTAATCATTAATGATATGCTAATACCTTTTAATTTTTGAAAAGGGTATGTATATATGTATATGATATGATATTAACATAGAACTCCTTTGCCTCAATTTCAACCAAGATACCAAGGCCACAGGTTTCACACACTAAAATGAGTGTGTGAGAGAACATCATACGCAAAACTGAGGCCAACTCTTGGCCCTGCAGCCCTACTTACTGAGTTTCCAGGGGAAAGGATCATACATGCTGTAGGTACCCCCGGAGAAGATAAGAGGGGATGATGTCTTCTAACAGAGACTGAAAGATTCCCTGAATATAACAAGACAGGGCCTGGTGCCTGGAACAAGCCCAAGAGTCCACAGCACTCTGTACAGGGGTAGAGGTGGCTATGATAGGATGAGCCTACATCTACAGAGCTCAAGAGACACCGTAGGTCAGAATAAACACAACAAAGGTCACCCCAACCTATGGGGAGCTGCAACTGGATGGCCCAAGAAAGGTACCTACAAATGAACCCCCAAAAAGTGCTCTTATGAGAAAGTACCAACTTCTAACACACATAGGGTAAGAGAACACAAAGCCTTGCTTCTTCCTTTATGACCTCCTTCCCCATTTCCCAGCCCCAGAAAGACTAAAGCAACAGTAAGCGAGCTAAAGGACACAGGGCCAGCACCTGCCAGGGCATGAGGTAAAGGATACTGTTGAACTGTGAAGTACCTTATTAATGTCAAGTACCTTATTAATAATAATAATAATTAACGGTTATTAATAATAATAATAATAATGTTATAATCTGATATTGAAATGAATTGCTATTACTTAAGCAATTTCCATTCTCTAGCAGAAAGAACCTAGTCACATGTAAGAATTCTAATCTTCCTTTATGTAAAGAACTCTATAAAGTAAGTAGAGGAATATACTGACGTTAAGCTTCTCCATTAAATACCAAAGAGATTTATCATAATTAAAACATTTTTAATTTAAAATTTTAAAGTTAAAATAGCTTGGCACATAGTCACAGAGAGAGAGAGAGAAAGATACAAAGGATAGTCATTCATTAGCTTCATTTCATTCATTCTGAAATTTCTCACATCATTGCTTTGATGAATGGTAGTCTTTAAAGTCAATGGTTTTGATTAAAAATTTAGAAATAAAATTTAGTTATTCAGAGCAATGCCGTGGTAGTTTCAAAAAGGATTAACTGTGTTAATGTTTTTGAGAAATGGATATCCAAACTGCTGATACCAGAAACTGCTTCAGAAGTTACTAAATGGCCCTTTGAGACATACACAAATTCTTTTTTGGAATTGAATGGGATAGAGTTAGAAAACTGTTCAAAATGGGTGACTAAATGTGAGAAGAGTTACTTAGTATCTTGGGTTAAATGCCTTCTGTGATTTAAAAGCCTTTCTATTATCTAAGGGTGAGCAGAAAGTGATGACGACAGCCAGGTTTCCATCCAAAGGCATGGAAAGATTATTATCACTGAATAAATTTTAAAGGGATGTTAAAACCAAAAGAAAACAAACTTACTGCCATGAGTGGGATCTGACTTAACAGCGATCCCTCCTTGGGTTTCTGAGGTGGTATCACTACAGAAGTAGATTGCCCAACCCTCCTTCCAAGGAGTGGCTGGTGGGTTTGAACCACCAACCTTCTGGTTAGCAGTCAAATGCCTTAAGCACTATGTTCCAAATCAAAAAACAAACAGTGCCGTCGAGTCGGATCCAACTCATAGCAACCCGTCCTTGGGTTTCCAAGACATATCCCTATGGAAGTACATTGCCCAACCTTCCTTCCAAAGGCACTATGTACATTAGGGAACAAAAATAGAGTTGTTTTCTTATTTCACCATAAACTGTTTACTCAAACCACCGACCTCATGTATGTGTATACGTAGCTACTTCAAG